AGTCATTAGCGAGGTTTGATGCGAAGTTTTAATTGTGAATTATGTAGTTACCTGGATTAGTTTAGTATTTCTATTACTATTGGCATTCGAATAAACGTTCAACAAAGTTTGCGTTTGAGGCAGTTGTGTTCATCTATCGGAAATCTTGAACCGACGGAATGACGATAACTTGACGATCGTTGGAAGCTACAACACCGGTGTTGGAAATATAGAGATTTTTTAAGTTATAACATTGGTGATGGTAGTTACGAACGTCATATATATATATATATATATATATATATATACTTATATATATATATATATATACTTATATATATATATATATATATATATATATATATATATATACTTATATATATATATATATACATGCAAGTCCAATAAGAAGAGATCAAATTTGCGTATTGGCACAAGTCTAAGATCTGATGATGATAATTTGATGGCTGTGCCTGTTTTTCGTTTGCAGATAGGAGCAAAAAATATTGCAGTGTTGGGGGTTGTATGGAATGGTTTGCCACGGTCGTTGAGGGTGTGCGATTCAGGAATTGAAAACTTTAGGGAGAATTTGAAGACTCATTTATTTAATCAATAACTGTGAACTGATTTATTTGTGGTTTATTTTATCTACTTTTTCAGCTATTTCTGTTAATTATAGGAGAGCGCTTTTGAAAAATTAACACTATTATTTTTAATAAGCGCTTCATAAATTTTAATGATAATATATATATATATATATATATATATATATATATATATATATATATATATATATATATATATATATATATATGCTGATAAAAGACCATAATTAATGCAGTGATTTATGAAATCTACCAAATTTCCAGCTTTAGATAATATTTTATTACATTTCTCAATATTTCTAACCAAATTCTTGTTATTTCTTCGTTCTTTATCGTTATTGAAGTTAGTTTATTTCACTACAAGAAATAACCAAACATGCACTGAAGATGATTTGGGGAAAATCGAAATAAGGCCTATTTGCATGATGAATTTGGATAACAATGGTTTCATTAAACTTTCATGATGGACTTGGATAATAAACCTATTTTTAATACATTAAACAACTTCCAGAAAATTCTAGTAAGGAAAATTGAAAAGACAAACTTTAAATTGATTAGTGCCAACAATTCGGTAGAATTCATACAAATAAAATAAGGTCTCTTTCCAAAATAGATATAATTATATATATATATATATATATATATATATATATATATATGCGTATATATACACGCATATGTATGCGTATATATATGCGTATATACATTGTATGTATACGTAGCGAAGATTTGTATGCTGTGTCCACCGTTGTTCGCATGTGAGTACAGGATATAAGCTGCGTTCGTACAAGTTCTGTATGCACGCATGTATGTCTTTGTGTGTGTGTATGTGTAGTGTATGTGTGTGTATGTGTGTGTATGTATGTGTGTGTGTTCCCGTGAATGTAGGTACGGATTCGTGTACGCGTGTATGAGTGTACGTACAAGTTTTTATGAATGAATACAGAAAAATATGTATGCACGAAAGAATAATTATCCACATAAAGATGCACACACACACACGCACGCACACAAATACACACACACACACACACATATATATATATACATATATATACATACATACAAATTTTATATTATTTTTTATTATCTGCTATTTCAAAAGATGAGGAAAAGTAGGAAATGGAAATATAAGATGTGATGAAAAGATGGAGAAGAACTCATTTATCTGATATCACATGGACAATTTTTTTGTATCAAAATTCTTCATTTTTATTTCGTATTTAAAAATTTTTATTTCACAAAATTTTAACGAAATGAAAGTTGGTAACTGAAAATTATGAACTTTGAACTGTTCTTCAAGTCCGTCACAAAAAATTGAAAAATGTTTCCGTCGTAAAGTGAACAAATGATTGTAACGAGAAGAAAGTAAAAGAGGACATGTATAACAAGACAGAGAGAATTGACAAGCAAGGATAAACGTGTAGATAGCAAGAGAAAGAAAGAGAGAGAGAGAGTGAGAGAGGATTAGAGAAAGATAAAGAAAACAAAATTAAAAAATAATAATTTATTATCCCTTTTAAATAATGAATATCTAAATACACCTAAAACAGAAAGGAACGAGAGAGACAAAAGCATGATATGTAACGTAATCTAGTCAGCAGCCATTCATTCAATTCATAAGATCGGCGCTTCTATTAACAGATTCCCAGCCGGATCGATTTTAGCCGATAACCGATAAGAATCGACTCGAACCGGTAATTGGATTTGTTCGTTTAGGTTTACTTTTAGTGCCGACTGCGGATTATTGACTATTCTAAGTTTTGTTCCGTTTTTGTTGGCTTTTACTAGGACGTCGTTGGGATGAAGCGTGATGCCGAGATTGCAGAGGATGGTGAAGATGTTGTCCAGATTGTTCGTGACGTTGCAGTGTTGGAAGTATTTGTCGGTTGCTGTCGTTGTTGTTGTTGTTGTGGAGGTTGTTGTTGATGTTGCTGGCATATTTTGAGATGTTGATGTTTTTGATGTTTTTGGAGATGTATGTGGCTGTGGCGTTTTTGTGGTTGTCGGTGGCCGTGCTGATGACGGCGACGTAGTTGTTGTAAGAGATTTGTTTAAATTTCTTGAAGATATAGAGTCATATATGTTTGGTAGTTGCTCGTCTGCTTGTTGTTGCCGTTTATGTTGTTGTTCGCGTTCATCTTGTTGACGTTCATCTACAAATAACTCGACGACTTGCGTTTCAAATGGCGAATCATTTTTAGAAGGCGTTTTAACCTTCTCATAGCTGTATTCGTAACTGTACTTGAAATTTGAATCGTTGTCGTTAGTGTTGCTGATGAGTTTGTATCTGGTGATGTTGTTTCTTACACTGTTATCCGGAATGTTGTTGTTGTTGTTCATGCTGCTGTTACTAATGATATGTATGTTGCCGATGTTGTTAGTTTCATTGCTACTGGAGTTGATGCTGTGATTCACGTGATTATTATTGTAATGGTTGACATCGTTGTTGTTGCTATTGTTGTTGCTGCTGATGACAACAGCGCCAACTGGTGTAGTGTAATAAACGCTAGGAGAATTTGAATTCTGTGGAAGTTCGATGAAGTCGTCGTTGTTGTTGTTGTTGATGTTGTTGTTGGTGGGGTTATTATTTTTAATCTTTTTATTTTTATTCCTGTGGTTGTGTTTGTTGGCGTTATAAAAACTTGAAACGTCATCGTCGTCATCGTCATCGTCATAGATGTTCAAGGTTTGAAAATGTTTGGACTTATTATCAGCATCGCCATCATCATCACAGTTCTCTTCTTTTTTCATTATATTTTCTTCATCTTCATCGTAATCTCCAATATACAAGTGCGTCCGGTTGTCAAATGACTCAACGTTATTGTTGATCATCTTCTTGTTGTTGTTGTTGTTTGTTGTTTTGTTGTTAAAAGTGTTGTTGTTGTTGTTGCTGTTTTTGGAGCTCTTCACGACAACTTTGTCGTCATCTTTCAGGCTGTTGAAAAAATTCGTTAAAGAAAATGTGATTAATTTTGAGTCATTTGTTGATTTGCTGTGGCTACTGTGTTGTTTTTGTTGATGTTGTTGTTTTGTAATGTTTGAATCGTTGTTTTGTTGCTGCAGTAGTGGTAGTTGCTTCAGCTGCTTCTGCTGTTTGAATGGACCGAAAGACAGTGATACTGGTTTCTGTTCGTTTGCCAGGGTCGTCGTTGTTGTTTTCGGCTCATTCGCCAGGGGTGATTTTGTTTTTTGTTTGCCAGCTGGCGGCCACATTTCACGGTCTGCGGTGCTTTCTGCGTCGCTGTCAAACCTGTACACTGAGACGCGATTGCGGAAAAGAACCTTTTTGTTGCTCGTGTTGTTGATGTTATTGTTGTTGATGTTATTGTTGTTGTTGCTGTTGGTGTTGTTGTCGTTGATGTTGTTGATGTTGCTAGTGTTGAGATTCTTGATACTTTTGTAGTTGTCAGAGTTGCCGTAATTTTTGATACTGTTGTTGATGTTGGTGTTGTTTTTGTTGATGCTATTGAAGCGGGAGTTATAGTTGTTTGAGTTGTTGATGTCATCGTCTGTTAATAACATAGAAGAATATGAGTAGCTACGGTTATCATCGTCATCTTTGTTGTTTTTAATGTTGTTGTTGACATTTGCAACACTTTTGTAAGAATAATCGTTATCACTATTGTTGTTGTTTTTGTTATTCCGTTTATATTTGTTGCTGATATTGTCATCGATGTTGATGATGTTGTTGTTGTTGTTGAAAATGTCGTTAACGTTGTTTGTCGTCTGTTGTGAGGCATTATTCATCCTGAGTGTTGATTTCTTAGACAGTGACGACTCTCTATAACTAGTCTTGTGATTGTTTCTGTGGCTCTGGATGTTGCTCTCTTTATCTCTATCTCTTTTTCGAGACTCTCTCCAAAATTCATCTCTATCTCTTGCAGCGTCTCCACCACCTTTGAATGTCGTGCTCCGAATTTGTGAGTTGTCACGTAACGTATAGATGCTGTTGTTGTTGTTGCTGCTGCTGTTGTTGTTAGTGTTGTTAGTGTTGTTGCTGTTCACATTGTTCACTCTTTTGCCAACAAGTTTTTCATTTTTTAAATTAAAATTACTACTAATGCCATTATTAATCAGAATATTATCATTATTATTATTGACCTTTGGCACAGAATTCTGCCTAAGATCCATAGTGCTGTAATATTTCCTGCGAGTCGAATAGATGGAGTTGTGCCGGTCAGATTCGGAACTTCGGTATGATGGGTACTCGTTGTACTTGTGGCTCTCGAGGTATTTGATCGTTCCTCTTGGCGCTGATGCTGACGTCACCGATGTCTTCCCTGTTGTTTGACGTCATTTTTGTTATTGTTCATCTTAATGTCAAAATAATTTTTAAAATATAAAAAATGTAATAACTTTTTTGATTGGTCGGGGCTTCTCCGAAGCGAATAAATTGATTGGTTGACAAATTTTTCCTCGAGCCAATCAGAGGCTTGCTTTTTAACTGGTTCGTCGTCGGTGATTGGTTAGACACAGATGACCTCATTTCACCCCTATGACTTGGTGGAGATAATAAAAATGGCGACGATGACGGGAATGATGATAATAATTGTCGTGGTGGTGCTGATGACGATGACGTAACTAGGAGTGGCGGTGATGATGATCCAGATTGTGAGTGAAACCCCAGTGACGACAGCAGAGGAAGTTTTCGTGACGTCATATCAATGGTGGTGGTGGTGAGATATTTATTCAGAAAAGTAAGTTGAGAAAACTTAGCGGCACTAGTTAATCGTCGTTATCTGAAGAGGTGCAAACGATTGACATTCAATAAATTTATCCCAAATTAAGAATCAAACGCTCTTGTTGGTTATTTATCACTTTTCAATTTAATTTTTTAAACCCAACAAATGATTATGTGAATAAAATACATATTAATACATATGGACCACAAATGTATAAAAGTCATTTTTTGAATTATTCTTGATATTATGATTATTACTACAATGTCAGTAGTGTAAATACTAATCACAAGAGCAGTAACAAGTAGATGAGAGTAACGTATGGACCGAGCTAGTTAGTGATTAAGATGTCTGGAGTTTTTTATCATATAAATTATTTATTAAATTTGTACGTTTTCGTTTGCTTTTGTTCGTTCGTTCGTTCGCATGTTCGTATGTTTGTTTTTGGTATGTTTGTTTGTGTGCGTTTGACTTTGTGTGTGTTAGAACGCGAATGTGCAAAAATAATTGGAAAAAAATTCAAAAAATTAGTTTAAACAATAGTTTAAACAATAGCCATTTATACACCACTTATTCAAACTCTCGTTAAAACAATACAAACACGTACATTCAAATGCAAACGAACTTAAACATAATCAATCATATAAAAACCTACCAATGTGGATGCAACAAAATACACACACACACACAGACAAATACATATACACAAATACACACACAAAACATTAAAAAATATAAATACATTATCTCATGCAAGCATACATTTGAATGAATAAATTTACAAATGAACAAATTACAACGTACTCACAAATATACAAACAAACAAACAAAACAAAAAACATATTATACACACAAACAAACGTTGAAACACACTCACAAACATACAAATAGCAGCAGGTAACTGTTGGACTAACGCCAAAAACATGGCGTGATTTGCTTTGGTTTTTTTTTTCGTTCAATTGCAACTGCGGGTAGATGGATGCGTAGTTAGCGATGTTCTACAAATTCAATATTTGTTTAACAACATTCGCAACAACAACGACGACAACAACATCACCGACAACAAAACAAACGAAAAGGATCTACAACAAAAACAACAGTATCGAAGAATTACAAAACAACAAAAAACATCAGTGAATAAGATGTTGCAAAAATTAAAGAATGGGACCTGGACCATAAGACAATAGCGGTACCAACAACTAAAAAACAACATAAGCAAACAGCCAGCCTGACATTCAACGGATCTCGACTTAACAGAACAAACAACAAACAACATCCACAACAACAACACTTAGAACATCACTACAAACTTATTTACATAAATCAAAATAAGATACATAACTAGAAGACAACGACAAATGTACGTATAGCAAATATAGTGAAAAGAACAAGATAACAATAATAATAATATTAACAACAATAACAAATAACAGTAACAACAATAAAATAACACTTACTTGCCGTACTGTACTTACAGCAGTTGTACTGTAGTTAAACATAAAATCTTCCTCCTCACAACACGAGTTAATTTCTCACAAGAATTCGATCGAACTATAAATTGAAAAACATTTCGAATTACGATATTTTTAAATGTAGGAACATATGGCGCTATACAAATTAATTCTACAACTACTACTATTACTAGCTAGTAATTATAGTAGTAGTAGTAGTAGTAACACTATTATTGGTAGTATTAGTAGTAGCAGCAACAATAGAAGTAGTAATAGTAGTAGTCGTAGTAGTAGTAATAGTAGCAGCAGCAGTAGTAATAGTAGTAGTAGTAGTAATTCACACCTACTGATAATAAAATTAAACTTAGTTCTTTCACAGGCTTATTAAACGATGACTCATTGTCAATCATTACACTTTATATTATTTTATATTACGAGAAAAAATAATAAAAATCATAATAATAATAACATTATAATATAATAAATAATAATACAAAATTTAACGAAAAGAAGAAAATTATGAAAAAAGAACTAAGAAAGACAAATAAACCAAACGTGCCTTTTTAAAAGAGCAAGTTCAGTTGACAGAAAGAATGCCTAACATATTTTAACTATTAATAACACCATCGTACTACCATAATTACTATTACTACGTAATACCATTTTTTACTAACGTCATTATTACTATTACTAAAGCGATGAAAATTTCTAGTCCTGCATCTACTACCACTATTACTACTACTACCGCTACAACTACTATTACAACAACAACAACTACCACTATTACTACAACTACTACCATTACTGTCACTATTATTACTTCTACTACTACTACTATTGCTGTTGATAATGATGCAATAATAATAATAATATTATTATGTTCATAATTATTATTATTATTACCCGGCTAACATAACAGATAGCAATGGTGACATTTAATTAGTCACCTGTCCTTTGGGAGATAATTAGTATTAGTAAAAATTTGCATAATTAATAAAAATAATATAAATATAAAATAATAATTATGTCATAATAAACAACATTACTGCCACTCTTGTGACAGCAAATCTTGAAAATTGTGAAAGATTAGAGAGTTATTTTTTGCGATATAAGTTTAATATATTAATTATTTTTCCTTTTTAAGTAAAGTAATCTAATAGTAATTTAAGTAAAGTAATCTAATAGTAATTTAAGTAAAGTAATCTAATAGTAATTTAAGTAAAGTAATCTAATAGTGATTTAACAATTTTTTTCCAAATTTATAAATAACCTGTTTCTTATGTGTACCTAAACAGTAAACAACTAACCAACCAACCGACCGACCAACGAACCAACCAGCCAACGATCCAATCAACACCAACCTTGATTTATTCGCAACAAGTGAAATATAAAATACTTTGAAAAGTAATTACTAATATCAAATATAATTATTATTCACGATATCGTATTTATAATTAATTTATATTAATTTTTAAAGAAATGCGTTTTTGTTAGGCGAAACATCAAAAACAGTTCATCTGTTTGCACGTTCAATCGAATAAGCTGTGAACTGCTCGCTACTATAAACTTTCATCTTTGTTTACTAATATATATATATATATATATATATATATATATATATATATATATACATTATACATACATACACTGTATAAAATATTAAAAATACCTTAAAACGTATGAAAAAATACATACATACACCGACGATCCCATGCACATGTAAAGCAAACATACAAACCTACCCCCGTATATATACATCGATATACAAAAAACACAAATTTCTGTTTGTTTGTATGTATATATGTGTACAAAAATACATACAACGAGCTTTTATGTAATTAAAATATTTATCGATTATCGACATAAACGTAGGTGCGTACAATATTGTCACACACATAACGCACACACACACAAAAACACACCTACATACATATATATACATTACATAAATATATACTATATATATATGCACACACACACACACATACATACATACATATATATATATATATATACATATATACATACATACATACATATATATATGTATACCGTAATTTCAGTTAACGATTTTTTGCTGAACATTCACGTACACCTGCCATCCTAATAATATCGTGACACGTATGTTAAGAAGAGGAGTGATTATCATAAAGATTAATAGTAATGATAATAATAATAATAATAAAACTGCTTGTTAGTAATAACAGTTGCAGCAGTAGTTATGGTAATAGTAGTTGTAGCTGTTAGTAGTATCTGCTGTAGTAGTAGTAGTTTGTGTATTTAGTGGTTGCGGTAGTAGTAGTTGTAGTAGCAGTTGTGTTAATAGTGGGTTTAGTAAAGATAGCAGCTGCAGTAGTAACGAGAATAGCAGTTGTAGTTATGACAGAAGTAGCAGCGCCAGTATTAGTGTAATGAAAGATTCGATAAAAAACGGTTGTCACCAGTATATATTAGTCACATTGTTTTGTTTGCATGTTTGTTGAAATAAAAACTTAAGCGGCTCTTTCTACAGAAGAAACCTGCACCTAGAGGCTAATTGTGAATTTTTGCTCTGATAAGCAAAACGTTTAAAGCCCCATCGTATATTCTACATATATATTCGTGACGTAACTATACTAACAGACTATAGAAATGATTAAAAAATCGAAATACTAAACACTTTTAAGAATTTGTTCATTGATGACGCAACAAATAAAAATCATAATGATTAATAAATTATAACAATGACTCAATCCAAAATGTTGATACAAAAGAATTTTAAAGGTCATTCATATATAATGCATACATAATTATCAGCTTTAATACTACTAATTAACAAATTAATTAATCAAACAAATAAACTCATTTATTTATTTATCAACACTACTTATTTTTCTTCTCTACATCTTCAGACATATTGCCCATCTCAAAATCAACTGACTCATCGCATTTATAAAACAACATCATGGCATCCTTGTCCACGAACAAGGTGGGGTCCACGAGCAGAGGTGTCTTCTTATTGACGATGACACTCGTAAACGGGGAAGGCTTAGGTATTGAAATTGAACTAGATGAAAATTTGTGTGTCTTCGTTTGGAGAAATAAATTGATCGTAGTGGCAGTGAAAATATTATTATTTGGATTGTAATACATGCTAGTGACATATCTTTTTGTAAGAAAATGCAGCATAACTGGAGTCAGGAAGATGAAAAAATTCATCCCCATAGCAACAGCAGCCATTACACCACCACTAGTATCTAACTGAAAATTTTTATATAAAACTGGTACAAGAGCAACTGCAAGAATGCTTGTTGTCAGGGAGAATCCTTTGACCAGTTTCACTGATTTAGTGAGGGTCCCCACATATATTAAATCTCCTTTTTCATGATCAAAACTTTTGTAACCAAGATATTCATTGTTATGCCTAACTGGCGTTGGTGCATCCTTTTCTTTATTACAATCATCCCCAATGCTTGTAATTTTTTCACGAGGGTGTGACATAAGTGATGATGACGACGTGAAAATATGACGATTCCTAGGTGAGATGCTCTCGTTAATTAGTGTGGTGATCAATTTGACACGAGGTCGTTTTGTGGAGATGTGGCGGGTCAATAAAGGTAGGAAGTTTGTCGGCCTCGCTAAAACCTAAAAATAGAAATTAATCAACAATGGCATTTTTTTCAATAAATTTATTCAGTGGTTACATATTAATTTTAATATTTAATTTCTAAGAAAAAGCTAGAACATCTTATATTATTAAAGTTCATATTCATTTTATTAATTAAATTCAGTTTTTCAGTAAAATAGAATAGAAATGTTGTGGTCAATACAAACATCCACTTATATTTTAAATTTTACCATATTTTTTAAATATATCACTCACTTTGATAGCGCAAAAACCGGCCGAGATCATTATTAACCTTGATATGAGACAAAATTTTAAATCAAGTAACAGACGCCAAACTAAAAAGTTTATCCTTATTTCAAATCAAATGTTTTCATTAAACAAAACTTAAATTAACTTTTAAATAGTTAATCAATCATCTAGCGCTTATTATAGAATAATCCTTTCAACATTCACTCGTGACAAGCGCAGAAAACAAACCATTCCAAACGAGGAACACGTAAAATCCATCGCCACAAAAATTTTTTGCGTCGTAATATTCACTACCGATGAATTTTAAAAAATAAGTGCTACAATCCAATCTAGATAAATGAAAATGAAATAAACAAAAGCCTGTACAACATGCAACAATGAAGACACAATAATTAAAGTAATAAAAGCAGACAAAATGTCATAAAATATCTTGCAAGGAGGCAATCTGTGCTTGAAATTCGCAGAACAATCTTTGTAGGGAAAGGTTTGTGCGCACGATCGAAAGAACATCTTTCAACAAACTCAACCTATCCAGTCCCTGGTTCAAAAGCAAACAAATTTAACATTAATTTTAGCATTTATTAATTGAATTAATGAAATATATAAATCCTTATAAAGTTTTGATTTATTAATTATTAATTTAACATTAATTTTAGCATTTATTAATTGAATTAATGAAATATATAAATCCTTATAAAGTTATTAGTGTATAACAAAGAGATCTAACAAATTGAAAAATTTACAACACAACACACGTTTAGACGACATTTTCCCCGAGATCGGAGGTTGCCGTTTGGCTACCTATGATGAAACCGAAATACCCCTCGATGAAACCGAAATACCCCTCGACGCCATTCCATCATAAGTAATTTATTTGGCTAATTTTTACGCAGGACGCCTTTCCTTACGCAACCACAGTTATAAGCGGTGGGCCTAGCCTTTGATGATCCAACATCACTCACAAGGCAGTGAGGGTCAGTTTAATGTCATAACCAGGACATAAAAATTGAAAAAAAAAAAAAAATTTATTAATTAAAATAATTTCCAACCAACCATCAGGTTGTGATCAAGCGTTGTTTTTCTCACCCCAGTTATTGAATTCATCAAATTCTGACAAATTTCTCTCAATCTTAAATCAATCCCTGCAAGCATCGAATGTTTGTTTGCAAATATGTAAAAAAATTACTAAAATTAATCGCAATAATGTTAGTAATAACAATATAATACTGTACAATATATTTAGCAAGTTTTAAAAATTTGAAATATGCCAAATATTCTTCTGACCTTGTCTAGTTAAACACCTCGTCAACGCCAGCAACCAAATCTTATACTCCTTCACTAACTTCAACATCAGACTGGTTTCGACCTGTTTTTCAAGATAGGCAACTGTTGACATGACTTGAGCGGATGGGTTGCTGTTGTATAACCTTTGTACCTGATCGCTGTTTCTGTATCAATTAATCAGTCAATCAGTAAGTAAGTCAGTCAATCAATCAATCAACCAATCAATCAACCAATTAAATAACTAACCAAACAATAGCCAAACCATTAAGATCCAAGAATATACAATTTAACCAGTCTAATAAATTAGCAAATCAAATTTATCGAAAAACAAAACCCAACTTGTAAACTTTCGGGAGGTAGGCTGACAAGCAGAATGAGTCATCGGTAGCGAGTGAAGCAGCAGTTGAGTGGTCGTTAAGAGATGTAGCTGCAGTGGCGTCGGTGTCGCTAATGAAAGAGCTGTGGTCCGATAGGGATGATATAGTATCATAACTCGATGACACGTGACACCTGGTGGTGGAAAATAAAGTTACGAGCTTCTGCGCTCACACAACAACAGCAACAACAGAAGCAACGAAAGCAACAAACCAGCACTGCATAGAGGTATTGAATGTATACGTCTTCCTACCTGAGACCGTCAACACTGGAATGCCAGAATCCGTTAGAGCCGCTTGCGTTATTGTCAGCTGCTGCTGCTTTGGAAACCCTAGAAGAAGTCATGACATATAACGTAAGTTGATCACTTCATTGGCCATGAATAATCATTGAGTTGTGCCATTTATAAATCAAGGTAAACATAAAAAAGAAATAAAAATTGGAAAATTTAAATCAATGAAACAGATGGAATGGGATAGAAGTCGAGAGACTGAGTTAATGATTAAATAACTATTTATAAACTGAAAAAAGGCAGCAGTCAGTCTCAGCACGGACCTGTCGCTAGGCAGTCCATAGACTCGTTCCTCACGAGACACTGGCCTTTCAAGAAGTCCCTGAAACGACAAAGACATTAAATTAGTATGAATGAAATTAATTTACAACTATGAAAACTTAAAATTTAAACAGTGAATAAACATAAGTTAAACAAAATTGCGGACTAGATTAATCAGCATAACGAACCAGCTAATCATAAAATTAATCAACCAACAACCTTATCAGCCAACCAACCAACCAACCAACCAACCAACCAACCAACCAACCAACCAACCAACCAACCAGCCAGCCAGCCAGCCAGCCAGCCAGCCAGCCAGCCAGCCAGCCAGCCAGCCAGCCAGCCAGCCAGCCAGCCAGCTAGCCAGCCAGCCAGCCAGCCAGCCAGCCAGCCAGCCAGCCAGCCAGCCAGCCAGCCAGCCAGCCAGCCAGCCAGCCAGCCAGCCAACCAACCAATCAATCAATCAATCAATTATCGACCGACCGACCGACCAACCAATTAATCAACCAATCAATCAAACAGCCAACCAACTAACCAGACAAATAGCTTAGCACAGGCAGATACAACCATAAAATAGGAGGAATGAATCTTGAGAACCGCTGGAGGACTGGCAAGTTGAATAGCTGGCGTCAACAACCGACCAGAATTTGTGGAATAAACATGCAGAGTGTAATCAGTGCATATAGCTGCTGTCAGGGATCTTAATTAGTAAAATTAAATTTATTTAAGTTAAATATAACGAAAAGCAATTGCATCAATCAATTTAGAATAAAATTAATCAACCAGTCAAACTACCAAGCAATCAATCAACCAACCAACCTGCCAGCCAGCCAACCAACCAACCAACCAGTCAACCAACCAACCAACCAACCAATCAATCAATCAACTTATCAATCAACCAACCAGCCAACCAGTTAAACTACCAGGCAATCAATACCCACTGATTAGCGGAAACTGTGTAAATAGACGAAGACAGTACATTCTCCCACACCAACTTTCCAGATTCTAAACATTTGATGGAATTAATTGACGACGACGATGACGAGTTCGTGCACTCGATGATAGAGTTTGAAGTGACGCTACTTCTCCTGCTAACCTGCGAGAATAAATTTCTACATCATCATCATTTTAGTCATTATATTTAGCAAAATCCTCATCAATAGATCAATAATATTAGCAATAAATAATTAAAAAAAATATGATTGAAATAAAAAAGCTAACCGCAAATGAATACGTATCAGTTTGCTGTCTTGTCATTGGCTTAAAAGGAAAGCTAACTTGAAGATGATTGGATGGCACAAGTGTAGGCGGAGCTACCTGTATTTTAAAAAACAATGTTAAAGTTGATGATTACTAGAGTGATACTTTTATATAATTTCAATCAAACAAAAATAAAATTGACATGATAAAACACAATTTAAACCAGCATACATTAAAATAAACAGCATCAAACGACGCGACCAACACAAGCAAGAAACAATGTAAACAACCTCAAATAACAAACCTTCAACACAGCTGGTTGTTGTGGCGGTTTAATCGATTGTTGTTGATGTTGCTGAAGTTGTTGATGCTGTTGTTGTTGTAGTAGAGATGTGCTGACAAAAGATCGAGAACCGACTTCCACGAGTCGATCCTTTTTCGGTCTACCACGGCCATCTTTTTTTTTCTCTGACATCACCGACATGAACGGCGCGTCAAATGACGTTGTCGCAGCGGACGAAGCTGCCGTCGTCGCGACTGACGTTTTATTCTGTTGCTATTGTTTTAAAAAAATGTTGACCGATGATGATGATGATGTTGGAATGATATTTCGAGGGTTTAACAAACAACAAGGTTGCAAAAGTATTTTAAAAGATGACAAAAAATATGACAAAACTGAAAAAACAGCTGCTTACATTGAAGTTATCAGTGCCAGGACAGTTGTTGTTAACATTATTGTTGTTGTTGTTGTCACTATTGCTGCTGCTATTGTTGTTGCTGTCATGTTGCACTTTTATCTCTTTAGACTCTTGTTGTTGTCGTTGTTGTTGATGTTGCTGGTTGTGTTGATAACTTGAATTCAATGCAGAAACAACACCAGTAGCTACATTGTTTTTCAAAGGCTTCTGCTGCTGAGACTGTTGTAACCCATTGTTATCAACATTCATTTGTTGCTGTTCCGTACGACCCAAGATCTCAACATCGGCCTCATCAACTTTTTCAACCACGATCGTGCTGGTTTCTGTGGTCGAAGAGAAGCTGGGTCCTGCTGGGATTTGTTGCTGATTCGTGCTACTGGAATACGGAGCTGGTACATCCCTGTTTAGAAAAAATCAAATTGGTATTACTAAAGAAGGAATGAATAGATAAATTAGATAGATGAATGACTGTGTTGGAGAATTACTAGAATAAATGACTAAATTAATCAATAAGTTATATAAATTAAAATGAATGAATGAATGAATGAATGAATGAATGAAAAAATTGAGCAACTAACCCAAAGTCGGGCTGTGGAGCGAGGAAGATGGGTGTGATCTTTCTCCTTCCGTCCTTCGTCCTCGTTTCCAGCTGTCTCTGGCTGGATGTCTGTTTGTGGTAATCATCATCATCGTTATCATCATCATCATCACCATCATCATCATCATCGTTATCATCAGCAGCAGCAGCAACATCACAACCGTCATCATCCAAATCGTTATAAGCGCTATCGTTATTGTCACCAACACATCATAAAAATATAAAATGTCAATCAGACAGTCAGCCTGTCAGTCAGTCGGTCGGTTGGTAGGTTGGTCGGTCACTCAATCAGTCAACAGCCATTCAGACAATCAATCAAGCGGACAAAGAAACAATCAATCAATCAAACAGTCAACATCCACTCAACCAACCTTAGAATGTTGACTGCTGTCAGAGAAGCTGTTAGAATTGGATCTCCTGGATAGGTGCAACGCGCTAGGCTGTACTGTCATCGTTGGCGTTGTACTTGTATTAACGGTACTAACATCACCGTTAGCAGTACTATCAGCTGCAGTAACTGTGGTGGCTGTGGTAGTAGCAGAGGTAGTAGTAGTAGCAGGAGTAGCAACAACAGGAGTGCTTTTAGAAACATCTCTGCATGGAGTTAATATGGAAGTGTAAACGGTGCTGGATTTGGTAAGTTCAGTCTTGGCATTGTGTGCAGCAGTAGTAGAGTTAGTAGAAGGAAAATTAGTAGTTGATGTTGTTGTTTTTGATGATTTAGTTAATTTGCTGATGCTTTCAATGGCGTCAAATATTTCAGCTGATTCCATTATTACGCTGTTGTTGTTATTGTTGATTTCATTAAAGTTGTTGTTGTGGGTGATTGCGGTGTTCAGGGCAGTTCTACCATATAGTCTCTTGTGTAGGTTTATCTGGAGATTCAGGTTTTAATGTTGTGTGTTGTTGTTGTCGTTAAATTGAATGGAAACCAAGTTTTTCAAATGTTTTTTTTGTAAAAAATTAACTCCACAAAACGTTTCACAGTATTATTACACAGAAAATTTATAAAATTTAAAAACTTTCAATAAATATTTTGAAACAAACAAAAAATTAAATAAAATTTTTTTTTAAAATCAACTTTTTAAAGTCAAAATTATGAAAGTTGAAAAACAAATACATTACATTCATGCACCTAAAGCATACAAATAACATACTGTTAATTTACAAGTCGTTGAGAATTGCATACAACGCCCCAATTAAATAAATTAAAAACGAGCTAGCCAATAGCACAGCTCGACCTACTTTTTCCTGATTGGACACTGGATTGCCCAGTTCTGTGGAGTTGAAGCCAAAATATGCAATTGTCCCATCCCAACTGCAACACATCATCTCCATACCATCGCTGCTCCTGATTAACATGCCGACGATAATAATAATAATAATAATAATTATTATTATTATTAATAAAAAACAGACTGACCAGGACATGTCGAGTATTGCACTGGTGAACAAATCATGCATCACGATCACTGGCCTCTTCAGATGGGTCGCCTGGTTTATATCATAAAGAAAGATTTCACCTCATTGGAATCATATTTTACCTCTTAAAATTTCAAATAAGATGGAAAAATAAGATGGAAAGAACATCTAAAAGGGTCTGAATAAGTATAAATGAAAATATTAAAAGGCACGATGCTCCTATGCTAAGGTACTAAATTTATTCCTTTGTCATTCAGTTACGTCCTTAGTAATTTTCTTCCTCCTCTGTAACAGAGTTTGTCAAATAAAAAAAAACCTGAACTGACGAAATTAGTTCGTATCATTAAAGCACCACTCACCCATATGGACACGGATCTATCTTTGCTACCAACTGCGCAGACAACATGATGCTGTGATGGAGTCTGGATGGATGGATTGGATGGAGTTAGTTAATTGGATAATTAATTAGTTTATTATTTTTTTCTTTAAAATTTCAAAATAAAGTATAATAAATTGAATAATGATAATGTGAATAATAGTTAAAATAATTATTGCTTTTATATTAAAATTCCACCAACCTTTTCGCCTTCTTTTGAATTTCTGACCATGACACAAGGACTAAATCTCTGATGAAGATGATGAATTATTTATCAACATCTTCATCATCATAATCGTTGTCATCACCATCATCATCACTATCATAACAGTATGTAATCACAACTATCAACATAATCATCATCATCATCGTCCTCCTTCTCATCATCGAACCAAAAAACTCCAAAAAACTGACTACGCAGGTGATAGCCTTGCGATGTCCAACAAAATCTCGGTTGGTCTTCCAGCCGGCCCTTTCAACGATTTGGGCGGTGGGCCCCGAGTTGTTCATGGCGTGCGCTGTCACCAAGTACTCACCATCCGGGGACCAGTCGAGTCGTAACATGTGCGTCGTTCCACCACACTTCCGGTTGGGTTTGATTGAGAAGATTGAAACAAATTTTGAATGATTAATTTTTTTCATCATTCATTCCTTCATTCTATCAAGTAATCAGACGGTAGAAAAATCCGATTGAACACATTCAAAATAATTTACTCATTCATTCACTTATTCCTTCGATCCATCTCACCCACCCATTTACAACTTAGAAGAACCTCCCTATCAAACTAACCTCACTAAAGGGCTTAGTGATACAAGTTTCCTCCTTCCAATCGTAAGTCCTCCAGACTCTGATCGACTTGTCGTCTGATTGACTGGCCAGGTAGGTGCCGATGGGATCCCACGTCAGTCCCTTGACCATGCCAGAGTGACCCTTCAGCGTTGCAACTATCTCTGTTGGAAAACAATTTCAAAATTTCGTCTTACGTATTTCTAAGAGGGATCGACAATGAATGCAAGTAAGCAGGTAAACACCCATGAATCCATGCACCACACACGCAATGCACATGTGGTTGAAAGTGTGTTGCTCATAGAAATGCAAACATGCAACTGAATTAGTAATAATTACCATATAAAATACTAAGAATAACAATGAAATGATAAGATCAATAATGAAATGGTAAGAATAATAACGAAATGATAAGAACAATAAAGAAATGATAAGAAAAATAATGAAATGATAAGAATAAAAATGAAATGCTAAGAATAATAATAACCTGGAAATTTGAGGGCATTCCATATGATGATGTTGTTGTCGACACTGCACGATGCCAACCACAAGTTATGCGGAGACCAGGCTAGCCCGAGGACATCTAGGGTGAAAAAATTTTCGTTTTATAATTTAATACAAGATTTTTAAAAATTATTCTTACTTTTTATTTATGATTTTCGATATTTTTCATTACAATCATGTCATCATCATCATCATCAGTGACATCTTCATCATCAGCATTCTTATCATCACCACCATAATCATCATTATCACTAGCATCATCATCACTAGCATCATCACAATCATCCTCATCATCGTCATAACCTCCTGAGTGACCACTTAATGTCACGCAGATCCTCCAAGATTCGTAGTTCAGCATTTTACCATTGCATCCAAAACTAGATGTTTGACCACCGTATCTGTTTGTTTGTTTGTATATATGTGTGTATAGGTTTGTGCATATACATATGTGTGTATGTTTGTGTATGCATCTGTGTGCGTGTTTGCGTGTATGTTTGTATGTATGTTTGATTTTGCGTGTGTTTGTGAAATTTTGTATGTTTTTATGTGTGTGTGTGTGTTTATTACATAGTAAGTTGACAAATGAATGAATGAATGAATGAATTGATGAATAAATGAATGAATAATTGAACAAAGAAATGGTTGAAATAATGAATTGATGGGAAAAAGTATCAATGGATGAATAAAAAACGAAAGAATTAATAAATGGTTGATTAAGAAAAACTAACAGTTGATTGATTGAGAGGAAAAATATAGGAAGGAATAAATGAATGATTGATTGAATGAAGTAGCAACCTGCTTGTCTGCCATATCATCACAAACTTGTCATCCCCCCCAGACGCAAGGTACTTTCCATCATTTGACCATCTCACACAATTCACACATGCTTCAGTAAATAAAGGTGAATAAACAATAATTAAATGAAATAATTAATAAATTAAATATATAAATAATTAATTTAAATAAATTATGGAATGGAAAATTACAAAAATTTTAGTGGCTTTCCATACCAATCTTTAAAAGTTGAATAAAAAATATCCAACCAAGGTGGTTGTCCATCTGACAGAGAATTTTTGGGACCTTTTGATCGTCCTCCATGTCGGCATCTCTAACTGGTTCCATGTTCCAGATAATCACCTTACCTGCCCCTGAACTGTCACCTAATTTCATTTTCAAACGTTTATTAGTCAAATTCAAATGTCATCTATTTCTGTTTTGTAGGTAAAAATTTAAAAATACTGAGTAAATGAATGAAAGAGTTTCAACATTGTCTGCATAGAAAATATGTTACTAATATTGAAAATATGTTACTAATATACGCACGATGATGTTTTGCTGTTTCTAATTTAACTCCTAGTATACAAAGAACATTTAACGATTAATAAATCTAGTTAATATAAAAATTTAAAAAGAAATGATAAAATAACCAATGATAACTTTTGAAATGATTCAATATAAACAGATTATCATTAATTAATGAAATTGGTGATTAGTCGACAAATTAGTGAAAAGTACCTTGTCCTCCCGTTGCAAACCTGGACCCATCCGGATGAATGTCTATTGAAAAGATTGGCTTTTCTATAAAAAAACAAAAATTATATAAATATAAAAACGATAACATCAAGACAAGAATAATTGCACATATAGTTATAAATAAATATAAAAATAAATATGAGAATATTAAAATTACATTAAAATTTAATAAATAGAATAGCTGGTAAGCCATCGGTGGGTTGATTGAAATTATTATTCAACAGAAAACTAATTTCAGCAGTTGATTAATATTTAACAAAATTATTATTAATATTAACATTTAACATTCAATATTCAAACATCATTGATCCAGGGTGATTTGCAAATGAAATACCAAAGGTGGGGCAGGTAAATGTAAAATTGTAAAAAACCCAACTGAAACTTAATTAATTAATGAAGGAGAAAAAAGTTAAAAACATAGTGCATTGACATAAATTTAATTAAATGAAAAATTAAAATTATTAATAAACTAAACTAAAACAACTCTAGCTTAAAAATTAAAAAATAAACTATCTAAGAAAACTAAAAAGTATTAAACATCAAAGATCAAACAAACTAACCATCATGAGAGACCCAGGCAGGTTTCAAGAGTTTCATTTCAAAAAGAATACGATGAACCAAACTTAAGAAATGAACTTCAGATTAACCAAAATCAGCGATCAATCGTTCATTAATTCTGTGATTCTTAATTTTAAAAAAATAATTTGAACAATTTTTACAACTGTTTTTAAATAATTGTGTACAAAGAACTTTTTTCAGTCGGTGCCTGAGACTAAAAGTTAATTTAAATATTAACTTTTTATACTTTTGAATCTTTGGTTATTAGCATAGAAGATGATGGATAATATATCCATGGTTGTTGGTGCACGTATAATTCAATTATATTGATCTATATAGAAAGTGAACTAATTTATTTTAATCAAAAAATAGAATTTATTTAAATAATCAACTTTTTACCTAATAAAAGTTTAATATATTGTTGGTACATAAACTGTACTCAAATATATAAGTGAGTTTACTTAACTTACAGCGTTTAAAAGTGCCTGTCGAAAATTTAGTATAATTTATTTGACAGAGGTTCTGGATTTGTTTTGTCTGCAATATCCACCTCAACCTTTCAAGCACTTTAATCAATTAACCAATCAGTCAAACAATCACGACCATTGCTTGGCATCTTTTCATGCATTCAGCTCAATTCTCACAATCAATCCTCCCGATCAACCTTCTCAATTCTCTATCGGTCGATCTTTTCAATCAATCTATCTTCTCAATCAATTCTTCCAATCAATCCTACTAATCAATAAAATGATTCTTTGGTGTGCGTCAAGGGTAAGTTCGCAACATGGGAGGGAGCACTTATTAATTTAAGATGTCATTAACAACGTAATAATTTATTTAAATCATCTAATACGATTAATTAATTATTTTAAAATAAAATAAATAACTAAAATTCACCAAATCTAGCAGCAGTTGAACGAATCATTACCCGAGCTTACGATTATTCCGGTCGAAACAATTAAAAAATCTACCGCAATTAAGTTAGGCGCTTTATAAATAATTAATAACCAACACGTCTGCGTCGTACATACGTCACATTTAGACATTTGTAATTACTTTCTAGAATGAACAATCAAATCTTTATAAATATCTTATTTGCTATCCTCATTAATAAAATAGTAACTGTAGTAATAGGAGTAGTATTAGTAGTAGTAGTAGTAGTAGTATTAGTAGTAGTAGTAGTAGTAGTAGTATTAGTAGTAGTAGTAGTAATAGTGGTAGTAGCAGTATCAGAAGCAGCAGCTGTAGTAGTAGTACAATTAGTACTAAGACTAGTAGTGGTAGTAGCAGCAGCGGTAGCAATTGCAGTAATATTTATATTAGTAGTGGTGGATGTAGTAATCGCCGTTGAATAGTTATTTGTTTTGCTAAATAGTAATTAGTAAAAGTAATATTTACTGCGGTAGTAGAAGTAGTAGCGGCAGTGGCAGCAACAATGGCAACAACCACAGCCTAGTATTAATTAGTGGTAAGTAAAAAAAACTCTGACGACGTTTGTATCAGCTGTGGTGGTGTCACCTGGTAATATATAATTCATTACTCACTTAATTATCGTCATCGTTATAATTTTGATTATTAATATTTGATTATTATTATTATTATTATTATTATTATTAGTAGTAGTAGTAGTAGTAGTAGTAGTAGTAGTAGTAGTAGTAGTAGTACTGGTAGTAGTAGTGGTAGAAGTTGCAGTGATTGGAGTAAATTTAATGATCACATATTTTTTTTAAGTACGACAGAATTTTTATTTTTTTTTATTTTGGGATTTCACACACACTCACACACACAAACACACACACACACACACTTGAACATCAGGTTAGCACATAAAATCACTTACACACGCGCGCTTATACACAAAAGTTGTTAACATGCAACTGCAAACATTGCAAGCACTAGTAAAACCAAAAAATACAAACAAACACATAACACACGCATACATAAGCACACAAAATTGCATGTATTCATACAACTACATACAAAACACACGTATACACATACAAATACTAGCATAAACATACACACACGCACGCACACAAATGCACAAGAACACATACATGCGAATACAAACACCGTAAATCACATACCAACAATAAATTACTCAATCTTTTACCGCTCAATTAAATCAATCAAGCTGTCGTCTAAACAAATAAATTTAGCGATAATTACATAACAAAAGTAAAAACGGACCAGCAATAATAACTTTATGAATAATAATAATAATAATATAGCAATAATAACCTAATTAGTACTCCATCATACGATTATTATTACGATTATTTTGAATATTAATGACCATATTTAATCGAAGCACGCGACTTGGCGTGTGTGGAGTAAACTTATAAGATGCTTCGATAATATCGGGTGATGCCATATGTCAGCCTTTGACCCACTCTCTCCCTCTCTCCACCCCTCTAGGTTTCGCGCTATCTCTCTCCATTTTCACCTCTTTTTGTCGTCGTCTTTCCAACATTTTTTTACCCAACTTTTGATTTATTTTTTATTATTTGTTTTACTCTGTTTTTTATATTTTTTCTTCATTTTATTTTCTCCTTTATTCTCTCTCTTTTTTTTCTCTCTCTCTTTTTTTTCTCTCTCTCTCTCACCCTCCTTCTTCCTCTCTTTGTCATTTTTTTTAGCTTCAATGTTAGTATTTTAAAATCATTTTTTAAGATGTTTACTTTTTCTTCCATCCATTAGCAGCTCTCCAACAAAATGTCAAACGAACATCAATCCCCTTCGTTTGCTTTGTAAATGCCTGAAAAGATCCCAATTTATTTTATATCCAGCAAACTTTTACGCATATTTCTCAAACAATTTTCTGCAATTTGTCCTCGACAAGAGTCTTTGTGTGTGTGTGTGTGGATGTTGTTGGTGTGTAAGTGCGTCTGTGTGCATGATGTGTGTGCGTGTGTGTGCACATTTAAAATGTCTACTCTGTGATTTATTATTGAGATTTGACGGTGATGATGACGACGATGAGACTTTGATGACGGTAATGATGATGATAACGACGACGATGATGATGACGATGGTAATAGTGATAGTTGTGATGAGGATAACGATGATGATGATGATTAGAAGAATACGATGATGATGATGATGATGATGAGGATGAGGATGTAGTAGTACTGATGGCAAGAATGATGTTAGAATTGCAGTGATAGTAACGTAACTGTTGATATGATGATAACACCAAAATGGTTCGATTGAAATATTATAAAAATAAATAATATTAGTGGTTGTAATAGTTATTATTATTAATATTACTATTTTTATTATAACTATAAATCATATTATTCATAATTAAATTCGTTTCTTTATTATTATATATGACCTACTGACCGTCACTTTTATGCCTTTGCGTGTCATACCGATGATGATAATGATGATTGTGATGATGATGATGGCGACGACGATGATGATGACGATGAGAATGTTGGTGGTGATGATTGTTGGTTGGAGTTGTTTTAATGATGACGATGAAGATGACGTGATTGTTATTTACTAGAAAAAGCATAAAATATTTTTATATACGGTTGTATATGTGTATCTGTATGTATATGAGTATGAAAAAAATTAGAGAAAGAAAGAAAGAGAAAGAGAAAAAGTATGTATGTGTGTGTGCGTGTGTGTGTGTGTGTGCGTGCGTGTGTGTGTGTGTGTGTGCGTGTAATTGCGACTGTGCACAGTATTGGTGATGATGTAAAATGATTGGAAAAAAATGCTCCGTGAAATGAATTCACTTTCACACGCTTGTCAGGCTGTCTTGTAGTAAGCAATAATGCATATGTGTACACATCAACAACGTTATCAATAACAACAATCTAACTATTATCATCATCAACAACAACAACACAACAACAGTAATAATAATAGCAACAGCAATAACAATATCTGAGTTATCAACTACTGCAACATAATCAGCCAAAAATATCCCCAACATTATATGTACCCGAAACGAACGCATAAAATGTAGGGTTTTTGCTGTTTATGTATACAACTAAAAAGTTATACAAAAAACATACACAAATTGTACACTCATGTTCACACACGTGCACAAAAATCCCAATGACACCTCGCAACATAACTTGTTGCAACATGCCTGCCTGCTCTAATCACTTCAACTTCCCAGACTTCCTAGCACGTGTTGACTGCCACACACACACACACACACACACACACACACACACACACACACACAAAATTAATTTTTGGCAAATATTTAGTTGTAACAGTTTTTGTAGAAAATATGTGCAAAAGTGAATTACAAGAATGCAAACAAACATGCAAACACACTTATACGCACGAACGATACAAAACACAGAATACAAAACAAAAAACACATTTCGACAAACAAGGGGTTTCTTTCATTCACAGACCACATAAACTAAACTATCAGTTTTAATTAAGTGCCAAGTAGGATTGTTGGAGTAGGTTTGTTTGTAATGATTTGCACGTGCGTACGTACACGCGCATACGCACACACACAAACACACACACGCGCATATATATTTTTACATACAAACACATACACATAAGCAAACATATACATGCATACAAATACACATGCATACACTCATGATGATGAGCCGGAGGAAGAAAATGAATGAGAAGATGATGATAACGATGATCGTCTTGAGGATGATGATAATGATGAGCAGGTTTGCTGACTGAATGATGGAGTTGAGATGGTTTGCTGCAGTTGTTTGGTTGCTGAAACTGAATGACTGACTGACATCCTCTCGTGGGAATTTTATCCCATGATGATGATGATGATGATGATGATGATGATGATGATGATGATGATGATGACGAAGATGATGATGCTGAAGCTGACAATGATTGTGACGATGATAATGATGGCGAAGAGGACGAAGAAGAAGACAAAGAGGATTGTTAATATTAATATCAGTAGACTACAACTATAATAACATTTGAGCTGATTTTATCATAACAGAAAGTTTGGAAGTATAAGTAAATTTATGTAAAAAAAGTCTGTAAAAGTTAAAGTAGTAACAACAGTAGTAATAGTAACG